TGATGCAGCTTTTGTTACGATTTGCCGTAAGTTATAGGTTGTAGACCTTCGAATATTCTCATGACTTCCATAATGATCTCTCTGGCTGTATGTCCTGGCATGTATTTCATATGGATGGCACAGCTTGGATGATGGAACATTTTTAAGGTAACAAAAGGTGCGTTCTTACACTGCCAGAGGATTGTTTGTCTCACTTCTAATGATTAAATCTTGCCGGCTTACTTCTTATTTTCTTTTACTCGTCATATTCCAAGAGTTTCAGAAAAAGGGTTTTACTGATTAAATTGGATGATGTTATCTATTCGGTAAAATTGTCAATTTTATTGCAAATTGAAACCTCTTTTGCTGTTTCAGTTATCGTTTGAGTAATCTAGATACGACATTGTGGTATCTGCTTGGTGAGAAATGGTCTAGAGTGGAATCGGAGATATTCTGTCTTCATATGTGAATCAACAGGTTATGTTGAGAGGCAAAATTCCTATGCTGTTTCAGTAGATACCCAGATGCTTGTAACTGCTAAAACCATTTTCTGCAACCTCCATCTGCTGGACAAGAAGTTTTCCTTCTCCATGCAAGAAAAGAAAGGTATATTATATACCCATTCAAATTCAATACCTCATATGATATGCAGATGGAGCTAACAGTTAGAAAAGGGAGAATAGAACAGTGCACTAAGAAAGTGGGTACAAAGGGATGCTTTGAGAGCAAAGTAAGAATCTTTACGACACCATCCTTCGGAAAACAAAAATTAGAACTTTGAATTTTGGATTGAGGTTAAGAATCTAAATCTTTTTCATTAAAGGCAGGTTAAGAATCTTTTTCTTTTTCTTTGTGGTGGTGTAACTGCATACCTGGATAACAAGGTATTGCATTCCTTTTTGGTAACCCTTTTGAAGTTACAAAAGATTGGAACATCACCCACCATCTTTTCTACAAATGGAATTCATTTTCTTTGATGATCTCCCCAGTTCTCATATGGCTTTCTCTTCTTTCTTTATCTGGCTTCTCCTCATCTTCTCTGTCATTTCCTCTCAAGGTACTTACTACCTTCCCCCTTTTTCACCTTACACTTTTTTCTCTTTCCCCCCAATTGTCTCCTCAGTTTCTTTTTGCCAAATGGGTAATTGGCATTAGATTAGTGGTCTTCATTTTCAAGATGATATGTTCTAGTAAAAAGAAAAAGCTAGGGTTTTGGTACGACTTTATGTCTTCTTTAAATGGTATCAATTACTTTACTTTCTAAATGATTTTGCTTTGATTTCCTCAGTTTGTGTTATGGAACTTCACCAACCTAACTGGGCATCCTTCCCTCTGGATTTGTTAAAAGAAAAATACAACTGGTTTTTATTCTGCTTTTTCTCAAAGTGCAACTGGCTTCTATCTGATTGGTTTAAAATGTAGATTCCTTGATTGCCAAATAAAGTTACCATCCGTTTTTTAATGTTCTTTTTCTAATAGATTCTGTTCTTGAAGGCAGTTCATGTTCAAGTCATTGTATTTGTGGTGTTCTGTTAATGAGTAATATTAGCTTATATTCTTCCCTGTTCTGCAGTATTCAAAGTGGAAGCATTCACCGGAACATATGGTGTAAACTATGGCAAGATAGCGGACAATTTACCATCCCCTCGCAGTGTGGTGACACTTCTAAGAGCAGCAAAGGTAAAGAACATCAGAATCTACGACGCTGATCATGAAGTCCTCAAGGCCTTCAAAGGTTCCGGTATAGAAATCGTTGTTGGACTTGGCAATGAGTACTTAAAAGATATGAGTGTAGCCGAAGACCGAGCAATGAATTGGTTAAAAGAAAACGTGGAGCCATTCCTTCCTGGTACTCGAATTCGCGGGATTGCAGTAGGAAATGAGATTTTGGGTGGCACAGACTTGGAGCTAGGTGAAGTTCTACTTCCTGCAGCCAAGAATGTTTACACCGCCCTTCACAGACTGAATTTAACTCATCTTGTCGAGGTTTCAAGCCCACATTCGGAAGCTGTTTTCATGAACTCTTACCCGCCATCTGCCTGCACATTCAAAGAAGATGTCCTTCAATTCATGAAGCCGCTTCTGCAATTCTTTTCTCAGATTGGTTCTCCTTTTTACATCAACGCTTATCCATTTCTTGCCTACAAGAATGATCCTCAGCATATTGACATTAACTACGCTCTTTTCAAAGACAATCCTGGGATTCATGATGCAAAGACTAATCTCCACTATGACAACATGTTTGAAGCTCAGGTTGATGCAGCATATGCTGCATTGGAGAAGGCCGGGTTCGATAAAATGGAGGTTATAGTTTCGGAGACTGGTTGGGCCTCTCATGGTGACCCAGATGAAGCTGGTGCGACCTTGAAAAATGCCAGGACTTATAACCGAAACTTGCGAAAACGTCTGCTGAAAAAGAAGGGAACTCCTTATAGACCAAAAACTGTTGTGAGAGCTTATGTTTTTGCATTGTTTAATGAGAATTTGAAGCCTGGACCAACTTCTGAAAGAAACTTTGGATTGTTTAAGCCTGATGGGAGCATAGCATATGATATTGGCTTTACAGGCCTCGTCTCTTCTGCACCAACTTCATCTCTTCTCTCTTTCAAGGTAAACTACATACATATATCTATCTATATATATATATATAAACATTTCTTAATTCAGCTGCTTTCTGACTACTTACCATGTTCATAAAAATTTGCAGGAAATTGTGGGTCAAGGTTGGTTTGGGTCTTCATATACAATCGTTTTTATGGTTTGTATGGGAGTTGTTCTCCAGTTTTTATCATCATGAGTTTAAACACTGCAGCTTTGTTCAATCCAGTCCAGACAAGTTATACACACATACATATATACATATATTAAATACGTTTACAAATGTAATCGTAACCCATTTTTTTATACTTGTTGTACTAACAGCCATTCTTCCATTACTTGGTAACTGAAATTTGCTCGTGGATTTCTTCTACTAATGTTGTTCAGCTCTGTATATCATGGTTCCTGTAAATAAAAAGCTCATAAGGAAAAACAAATGTCATATCACATTGTTTGTTTTATGTGTTTATATAGTCTCGAACAAGTTAATTCCCACTTCTATTTTGAATCGTAAAAATTCATATATTTTATTAATTAAATAATACGCGATATAATTTTATAAAGAAAATATTCCGATGCACAAGTTACTCAAATTTTATATTATAATAACAAAATATTTCGGATTCTTCGTAATCGCTCTTTTTTCGAACTTTAAAACGACGATATTGCATGCACGTAAGAAATTTGAGATCAACTTTCATTACAAATTTCTCAATTATTCTTAATTTGAGATTAATACTAACTAAAAATATAAATTACAAAATATTTGAAAATTGAAACTTTTCAAAAAAAAAAATTCTTTTTTTAAATCTCCCCATTGATGTTCTTCACTTTTGAAATATTTTGGGTTTGGAATTTATAATTATGTGGAATTAATCTGTCCACACACACACAAAAAAAAAAAGTCTAAATTATGACTTTTCTAAATTTGAAAATGAAAAAAATCAAAGGGAATGGTACAGAGGAAATACATGACCCTAGTCCTATTGAAAATTATTGATAACAACTTTTTACCCACTTCAATTTCTTGCTTTCTTAATTATTAACATAATTGTAAATATATATATATATATATATATGTGCACCCACATAATTTATTACATTATTACCCCAGGTGTATTTCAGGTAGAAGATTTTATAATTGTAAATCTCAATTTCATTCATTCAAGATGATAAATTATTTTTCAATACATTATGTATCATTATTCTATTTGAGTAACATATTTTTAACATGGCAATGACCGAAGCGTACGAATGCTATGCTAAAAAACGAACGAAGAATTATTTGTACTCGGTTCATTAATCTCGATCATAAATTGAAATTCAGATAATTGGTAATTTAAAATATGTTAAGATCACAAATTATATTATTTAATATATAGTATTAATTGAGAATTATTAATTTTTTTTAAATTAATAATAATATTTTCCAATAAAAAAAATCAAGTGGGTCATTCATAATCTACAGAAATATGATATGAAAAATCAAATTTGTGGCTGACCACAAAGATACCAATGTTTCCTATCCTCTACTACCAAGATGATTTTAATTTGAATATATATATATATGTATATAATGTTTGCTAAATATATTATTGCTTTTCATGAATATTAAGGAATAAAAATATGTATTTATAGCTGACTTTTGATAAAAAGTTGAAATACTAGCACCTAAAATTTTAATATTGTTTAATTATAATGTTTTAAAAAATTATTAACATAATATTAGATTATTCTAAAATATTTATTTTCATTTACCAATCTCATTGAATAGAAATATTAGTTTTAGATATTATTTACTTTTAAAATAGAAATTATATCAATAATTGATAATAAACATAAAATCACTAGCACCAAATTAGCATTACATTTTTATTTTTATAAATATTAAATAAATAAATAAGTTAAGTATAAATTTTAAAAAATACACTCATTAAAAATATTATTAATATTAATTATTTTGTAAATTTTTTAATAAAATTTAATTTATTTTGTTAGTGTGTTAATAGAATCGTAATAATAAAAAAATCAAAACACTTGAATTTAATGAAGTGGAAGATATTATTTTTATTATTATAAAGTTTTTGACATAATTTTTTTTAACCTAAATTAGAACTTTTCTTCTTCATCACAAATTGGTTTAACAAAAACAAAATAGCACAAGAAATATAGGACACAAGTTTTTTTAAAAAATTCCTAAAATATGCCCCTAGCAAAAGGACAAAAAACAAAAGTTAATCCTCTACGGACGGCTCCACGTCAACCCCATCATGTTGGACGAAATCATCACCGTAGATCTGATCAAGAACCAACACCAATCCCATGGCAAAGGCGCCGTCAAACCCGGGCTTCAAGCAAAGAGAGAAAACGTCCATCCCTAGAACCACGTTAGTTGACGGATCCACTTTCCGTCTGATCTCCGCCACTGATTCCTTCACTGCATTGAAGATGGTGCAACACCGTTGCCCGAAGTTTCCTTCTATGAGATACTCCTCACCGGGCCTTCCGTACACCTCCACCGTCGTGTCACACCGTCCGATTATCGACGATCTCCGCACGCTGAAGATCGGTTTCTGACCGTCCGATCTCTCCCCCAGATACCCTTCCCACCGTTGATGCAAACTCGGCCTCTGTTTTCCCCCCCAAATCACAGACCAAAACCAAATGAGACTCGGTTGTTTAAACAAATGAGATGATCATGTTCGTGATTTTCAGCAAATTAACGCTAAGAACTCGGATTTAACATGGAGGCAGCCCTTATGATGAACAAATTCAAATTTAATAAACTTGTTTTTTTCGGTTTCGCAGGCAAAAGATTTTAACTCACTGAGTCGACTCGTCTGGAATATTAGATCTCACTGAGTCGACTCGGTCTGGGATACTGCAAAAAACATATAGTGAGAGCGAGAGAGAGAGAGAGAGAGAGAGGGAGAGGGGAGAGGGAGGAGTAGAATATCAAAATACCTTTCGTCTTACAGTGAGCAAACACCTGCCATGAGCATCCATGAGAACAACTTCACCTTTGTCGCGGGAATCGGGTCCGTAAGAGTCGACTCGGAAGATTAACTCACCTTTACAGTCATAAACAGTGAAGCCATCACCGGCGAAGAACAGAGAAGTTTTAAGCACAGTTAGATGCTTCTCTTCTTGGAAAATATACCCACCATCTACAACCAAACCCTCTTTCATTTTCTTCCAAAAATCGTTGATACGCTTGAACTGAAGTATGAGGAAAATAAAAGGGTGTCTGAAATAGTTTCTTGTTCGAAGTCTGAGTGGTTTTCCGAAGTTGGTTTTGGGAAGAGAAAGGATGAGGTTGAAGAAATGTGAACGTTGAAGGTAAGTTATATAGGTGGGTGGTGGACTAAGATTGTAGTGAAGGGTAAATTGATTATTCTGTCCTTGGGAATGGACCCCCGAGAATGAGGTGGTGGACTTTAATCGCGAATCTGGACCAGCATTATTTAGGAGCGTTCCAGTTCATCCTTCAAAAGGAAATACCCTCGAAACGTTTTTTTTTTTGTTTTTTGGAAGGAAAACTTGATCGAAACGTTTTTTACTTTTTACAAAGTAAAAGTTGCTTTTTTTCAGCTAAAGAGGATGAACAAGAATTAAGGAATAATTATAGGTAAAAAAAAAAAATTAGTTTAATTTATAATTTTTTGTTAATGGTATGATTTTGCCAAACAATGTGTTGAAATATTCAGTCAAATTTCTCGAATTTTTTTCTTAAATTAAAATAAAAGATTTTATTCCTCATTAATATTAAAAAAAACTATATAATATATAGTTTTTAATCACAAGAAAATATAAGCGCCAAACATGCATATATATATATATAAAACAATATAAAATTGACAAATTGCTAATTAATATCTAATAATTGGTCCACACATAATTTAGAGTTTGGACTAATTTCATGTCCTAATCTGACTAATTAATTAATTAATCGACTGACAGATAGTTTATCCAAAAATAAATAATTAATTACAAGATAAACAAGTTTAACAAATAAAATTAGTCTCTTATTTTAATTAGTATCATCACACATTTTAATAGTGTACTTCAAAAATATATATATATATATATATAGAAAAAGTATATTTGCATAAAATATTATGCACTAATTTCCATATATTTCCAGTATTCTGTCATTCACAGTGCTTATGGGGCCAACCGCTTTTCATTCCCTACATGAATTATTATAATTTGTATTTTTGGAATTTAATTCAAATATTTTTTCTTTATATTTGTTTTAAAAAATATATTTTAATTTAAAGTATCCTACAAAAGGTTAAAATAGTAAATTTTTCTAAGTTTTAACTAATTTAATAAAATTCATAAAATAAATTATTTTAATTTAATTTGTAACTCTTTTATTAATTTTTCTAAAAATTTAATAGAGTTATCAATCAATTTGACGTGTGTGTGTGTGTGTATATATATATTCACACACGTGTTTGATATATATATATATATATATATACACGTGTTTGCTTGCATGCTCATCTACGAAATACGTAAACTCACATAATATATACTATATATAGACACACACACACACATACCCACAAAAACATAATGAGGAATATACATATTGAGGAATATTATAAAGATTTTGGGGCCTAGTTAGGTTAAATACATTAATTTAAGTCATATATAGAGTTCCAAACACTAGCTAACTTACATATATATATACACAGATATTTATCTTGTTAATATTATCCAAATTTCTTCTTTTGGATAAATGTTTAGAAGTGTATGTGTGTGTATATATATATATGTGTGTGTTCTATTTTAATATGAAGATTATAATTATGTAATATTTACGTATTAATAATAATATAATAGATGAATTCCATAAATTGGGTTCGATTAAACAAGAGAAAATACACAAGATGAACTTTATATATATATACTCATATACATATCATGTATGTATATAAACTTAGAAGAGAGCTCATGTACCCATTATCACAGCCAACAAATGCATCCAAAGCTGAAATAGTATATGATATAGTATATGCCATATATGTATAGACACGAAGCAACCACCACCTAATAAAAGAGAACGGTTACTATAGGAGCTTATAATTATATATATGTATATAATATAACTTAGCGTGAAAAAGGAAAGAAACTTCCAACTACACTTTAGGAGACAAGAATCAAGAGACAGATATTGAGTCCCTACTTCCCCAATTAGGAAAATAAGATCCATCTACATCCACATTTTGTTTATATATATGTGTGTGTGTGTGTATATATTATTTATCTACTTTATAGTTGAAGGTTAGAAAATTCACCTAACTTATATCATAGTCAAAATCACGGCAAACAAACACGTTTTTTCGAAGCTTCCTATTTAACAATAACACCCACAAAATCAGTCAAGTTGTTTAACAACTCTCTAGCAAACATCTAGACTTCACACTATCTTAAAATAGTTAGTTACCATTAATCTATCCCTTTAATCGAGTGCTGTCAAATTATGTATAATAGATGACAACTTAAAGTTTGAAATAAATTTGAAAGTAACCAAATGAACATGATCAAAAATGGTTGAAGGTACATAGAGACCAAAACTGAGAAACTTCCGCGAAAAAGAAGAAGATCGGGTAATGTTGTAAAAGTCTGAAACTAAAAAAAAAATTATTTATTATCTAAATGCGAAAACAAATAATAAAGTTAGGATTTACATTCCTTACATAGTAAATTAGAATATCCAATAAGGTTACGAAAATATTTCTACTACAACGGTTTATAAAAAGAAGCAAATAAATAATTTAAAATAAATAGATAAATATCCTAAGGGTTAATCTCTACTAGCTCTTCAAAAGGTCCAGAATGTAAACTACTCACAATTTTCTTACTGATCGGGATCTATATCTTGGTCTTCTTGATATTAAATTGTTAATAGAAGAGTAAGTTATACTAATCTAGTAAGAATATCACGCTAATCATTGATACAGAAAATAAATGTTGGTAAAAATTACAAAATAACTAATAGAGCTCTTAATTTAATAAATTCATTTAATATCAAAACGTTATTTCTATACTTACCGTTACGAGTTTTTCAAAATCAACTGTAAAGACCGAAAGCCTTAGGTAAAATAAATTTGAATTAAAGATGTGAAAGCGTATAATAACGTTAGGGTTTATATTCCTTACACATAAATTAAAATGTCCAATAGGATTACGAAAATGTTTCTTTTATAGCGGTTCATAAAAAAAATAACTAAACAAATGAAAATAGTAAATAAATATTCTAGGGAGGTTAACCTCTACTCTCTCTTGATAGGATCCGGGGGACACCTACTCACAGTCCTCATGCTGATTAGGATATGGATCTTGATTCTCTTAATCTGACGTGGTTAATAGGGGTGAGCTATACTAACCCAATAAAAATATCACACTACTCACCAATATAAAAACTGAAAATTTGTATAAAAAAATATAAAACGATTAATGGAATTCTTAATTTAAGTAAGTTTATTTATCATAAGAAAAATTATTTATTGCATACTTACCGTTATGAGATTTTCAAAATCGACCTATAAAAATAATAACTCAAATAATATTATAATTTCTTAAACAAGTGAGCAAGAACAATAACTTTTCTTTTTATCTGCTTACTGATACCTCCGGAGGTCCATAAGAATGTTCCCCTATGCGTGAACTTAATATCTAAACTTGTTAATTAACCAACTGTCCCCATACCCCGTCCAGTATGAGCATAAAAAATGTCATCCCTCGATACATCGTCCTGTATAAGGATGAACCGAACCGTCTCCATGTCATGTCCGGTATGAGCACCAAAAATACCATCTCTTGATACCCCATCTGTTATGAGGTAATGTTCACGGTAGGATTTTCTATAAATCCAGTCCATCTACCATCTCCCATGTATCCGGTAAGATAACAATTTATTAATTCACATAATCAAACAATTTTCTATTTGTATATTAATTCACATTTCACAAATCAACCATAAATCACGCAAAATAATCGATATATACATCAAGAAAATACAACTGAATCATTTAACTATTTCAATATATTATCATGTATTTAAAGTTGTACAAGTAAATAATCAGTTAAACAGGATAAATAAATAACTAACTCGTTCTGGCTCCATTAGTAACATGTAATTATTCTTACCTGAATCGGTGTTTGAAACACTGTATTTTCTACCACACCTCCTCGCAGTCCCCAGATTTCTTGAATTTTTCTACATAGATTAAACATGTTTCACGTACAAAAAAAATATCCTAAAAATCTATGATCGGTGTTAAAAATATTTTTTATCCAATTTCAGGATTCCGATATGGCAGTGCTGCCTTGCTCCGATGACGACGTTGCCGCCTGCTGTGGCGTTTTGCCTCATCCTGATCGTTTTCGGCCAGCTTTGACTGGTTTTGGCCGAATTTAGACGTATCTCTGCAGAAAAATACATCAGGGACTCTCGGTTGACCGAAAAAAATCAGAAAACTAAAACCCACCGGTGGTGGGGTTTACAGGTTTAAGGACTTCGTCAACTCTTTTTCGCGGTTGGGATTCCTCCTTCAGTCAACCTACAAAAAACAGAACAGTGAATACAATAATGAAAAAATCGTACGAAACAAGAACTAGGAACAGGCTCATTGGAGGATGTTGCAAGTTTTAGACCGCAATGGCTCCGTCGGGCTTTGCCTACAGTTTTCAACTCACTGTTCGTTTACTCTGATATGGCCACAGGAATGCTGGAAATCAAATTCCGAGCGGATAGAAAAATTTTTACCATTTTTGGCGATCGAAGGTGGTTCCGGTGCGGTGGTGGTCGGTAGTCAGCTTCCTTCTCTAGCGTTTGGTCCTTCTTCTCCGTCGGGGAGGAAAGGTGGCTGGCGGGTAGAGTTCAAGTTCCGTGTGATGCAAAATATTTATCTTTATCCTGCGTTAATCTGGGCTGCCTATTGCAATCGATCTTGTCCGTCTGATCACGTCTAATGAGCAAATAAATCTGAACCGTTCATCGTATTTGATCTCGATCGTTCAATCGCGCCTAAGGGAGAAACGGATCCAGACCGTCCACACACGCGAGATCGATCCTGGGCCGTCTGATTTCGATACACGGATCATCAATATGGCCCCCCGCATGGCACCGACGTCAGTGTGCCTTACCACGCAGCGCGCTCTGGTTCGTCCATATTGCTAACTGGACAGTCCTATGTGGCTGAACATTTTTATTTGTACTTTGACCTCCTGTTTCTAATTTTTCTTTCAAAAACATCCCTAAAACTAAAATTTTTATCCATTTTTTCCAAAATTATTTTCAATCTCATCCCTAATTTATGTTTTTCTCAAATATAACAAAAATTAATTTAATTTAATTTATAAAATATTTTT